TTACCTCCACGTGGTGCACCCTGGGCAAGGTGTACTCAAACGGCAAAAAAGTCTATTAACCGGCAGTTGACTTCTGACTTCAAACTACTATGGCACGACTATTTGTCATATTCGGCCCCATCCACAGAACTCATCTTACCTTTTTTATGCATTTATGTCTTTCTGTCTCTTTTACCTCTGTGAAACATTATTCTGTCTCCCATCTTGACTTTTTGTCACTTTAATGTTCCTCCTCCAATCTGTGAAGCCCCGAAGTCAGCTCCATGGCTAATGATAACTATCAAAATGCTTGCCATTTGATATAAATAAATATATTTGCAGTTTATGAGAGATTTGGCAGCATTTTTAGGAATTTTATTGGCATCATCTTTTAGCGCAATGCGTCTCAATTCGCCTCCTTAATGAATACGAAAGTTGCGTGTTTTACTATATTTATAAATTAAGTGGTGGAAATCTCAACGTCAAAATAGTTGAAGCAAAAAAACGCATTTGCTCCAAAATATTATGAGACGCAAATACGTCACATCAAATTTTGCAATGAGGTTACCAGTGCAGACCCATCTCTACCAATCAATAACAAGTCACTACGTGGTTATCATTTCCGAGAGTGTATAAAATGGCCAAGCTATTTTCAGTCAAAAACATCACTCACACCTACAGCACAACCCCAACATAACCTAAGTTAAATAAACGTATTCTACGGCATATATCTATTTGCTCTTTGACTTCGTGGAAGCTTAACTTATTTTTGGGAACCGTTCTAAGCTAGGAAAAACTGCAACAAAGATTACTGAGTATAAATCAGGTCTTGTTAGTGTAGTCATTCACTACAAACTCAAGCACAGATTTGCATGATGTTTTAATTCCTTTGAAGCTTGAACAACAATTCGAGACTAATTTTTTGCCAATTTCGCCAGCACTAAATAAAGCATATTTCAATATAACCTCTTTTTGCATTTATGGCTAGTAAACCATGTTAGTGCTGACTTAATATTGCAATAATTGTCAGACGGAATAAACTATCGTTAAACTATATAAATATGTTGTGGAAGCTAAAATTATGGTTATACTAATTTTGAGAAAGATAGAGTGAGCGATAAGCTTATCTCCACTTCTTGCGACCTGGGCAGTGCGTACTCTTAGTTGACTACAAATTACCATGACCTAACTGCGTGAAATATTTGACCACTTTCTCAGTTCTCATCTTACCTTACTTTCTACTTGTGTGACTGTCTGTTTCTTTTGCATTTTTGAATCACTATTCTGTCCCTACCCCCTTCCCCAGACTTTTTGTGACTTTGACGCTGATAAACCCGAAGTCGACTAAATGGATAATGATAGCTATCATTAAGTCTACCAGTTGTTATAAATAATTTTAAAAGATAGATCTCCGTGAACCCTAGGTACAAGAATTTTGAGAATTGGCTACTAACTGAAAAGAATTCATTCGAATATTTGGTCTTTACAGCAAAGTGATCACTAAATGACCTTACACGAAGAAAAATTTCATAGGTTTTGTACAAAAAAGTATGTCATTTTTGGCAAGTCAATGAGCTATTTGAAAAACCTCAAAAAATTTTAAAGTAAAATTTTAAATTAAATTTTAAAAATAAGGACTGGCATAATAAATTAATTTTTAAGATGAGTTTCCTCAAAATCCCATATAAAGTATGCACAGTGTCATTTGTCTTAATAATCGTAACTAATCGATGCATGAATTTATCTGAGTAGCATTCAAACCCACAAAAACGTTTATGTTAAGAGCTGTTTTCGAGTAATATAACTTTCTCCATACCAAATGTTGATTTTTGCCCTAATAATAGGTTTATTAATCAAATAAGAAATTGAAATTATTTGATCCTAAAATTGCTTAATGGTACACATTCAATATAAACAAACTTTCTCGGTTGGTTCGGATCAAGTTAATATATAAAAAAACTGATGAGGACTGATTAACAGTTTCGGCGAAACGTGTTCCAAAATTCTAAAGAGACTAATTTGGTACTTGAGTTTCGAATGGATTTTAATGTGTTGCATAACCCTTTCGTGTAATAATAAGAGTTTGAAAAAAGTGAATGAAGTTGGAGATTTGAAAAAAGCGTTTCACGTTTAATAATATGAAATTATTGCTTTGATTATTAAATTCATTATAAATAGCCATCATTTGAAGAACAACATATCAACCCAATGATCAATGAATTGAATTTTCACATTAGATTAAGGACAGTGGAGCTTATGTAAACTTGTTCAATTTCTTTCTGGTGAAATGAAAAGTCAATTGGACTTTAGAGATCTGCATCCACCTGCTGAGATCACAATTAAATTAATGCATCAATGTCTACAATAAACCTCTTGAATAGCCCATTTTGACACATTATTACATTCGAACTCATTTTTCTATTTATTACTAACAAACTTTAATATTTCACTGGCAGCCTTAGCTCCTTCGCCAAGTTACTCAAATTATTTACCAAAATGATCGACAATTCAGGACTAAAACATTGTCCAAGGTAACCAAAAACACCAGTTAACATAGTGTGGAAAATTAAGCAAATACAAGCTTTAAATAAAGATTTGTATTCGTCCATTTCAAGACAATCAAATTAGCACGGGAACTTATACAATTATATCGCAAATATCCCTACCAATTGGGGAGATCCGAAAAATCAGCGGTGAGTAAATGGAAAGATAACTGATTTCGATGCCTTCATATTACCTATCAGATAATTGTCAGCTGCTATTCAACACAGATTCGCATCTATTCTACGTAGTACCTCTTCTTGTTCTACAGAACTTCATTCTCTGATTATCACTTTCAATCGAGATCTTTGACGCAGGATGTTCAGGTTTTAACATTTGAAATGGAGCGAGGAAATTTTAATTTTAACTTTTAAATAGCGTTTAAGGTCCTTCGGCTAGCATTACTAATGCAATATCAAGAATTAAATTCTGAAAATTAGCTTACTTTACCAGAAGGCACTTTCATTCAGTTTAAAACGGTTTTTCTAAAGGTGTATTAAGAAATGATTTTTGAATTTTGTTATATTTGATATCGTGATTAATCTTACTGGCAAACAAACTGAGAACTACACAAAAGCTGTGCAACCAAACCAAACCGCAGTAACAAAAATGGGGTACAACAATTTTTGAAATGTGATGCAAATCACAAGGCCGTTATTGATAGACAATCGGATTTGAAACTAATCGGGTGGGAAAGGTGCTTGAACGCCCTAACATTGCAATTTTGGCTTTCTTGTCCGTGTTAATTTAGTACCATTAAATTACACCTAATAAAGACCTCATCTATTACTAATCAAATTCTCATCGAAGCTAGCAGTAAATGATGTCTAGCAAAGTGGGATTACTTTCAAGCAAAACACGATATCATGCTGAAGAACAAGTCGATTAAGGGAAAATTGCCCATTTGAAATTCACGAAAAACAGCGTTATTTTAATGAAATTCCTGGATTGCGTGGGTCGTTGATAATAGGTCAATGTATGGTATCTATTTTCGTCCTCAGCTTGAATCCGGAAAATTCAAATTGGTTGTCAGGTGATGGTCACCTCACACCCTATCTAGGTCTCAGTTATTAACCTTATGAACGTTATGCCTGCAATGGGCGTTGCTTAAACGGGTTTTGATATTCTTCTCAGAAAAGTGACAAAATCATTTCCCTTCAGGTTCCGGAGGTGGGTACTTATTTCCAAATTTTTTACATTATACTGCACATTCATTTTTACATCGACATTTTGAGTTCTTCTGTGTTAATATATGATTATTCTTCTATCATGACTAAAATAAACTTTTATCTAAAAATATTTTTTCGCTGTATTTATAATATTGAGCCAGTGAAATTCAATGAATGTCTTATATATATATATATATATATCAAATATTAATTAAATTGCATGAAATAAATGGAGGATGGAAATAGTGCATTATTTTTAAGTGTAAAATTGTTAAAGAAATAAATACAGTTAACAGTGATTGATTTTCAGTGCAAGCAATTGTTAAAGTTAACTGAGGAGTTTATTAAAAGTAAATGACTGTTCTTAATATTATACATTTTGCTCCAAATAAATAAATATTTTGTTCTACCTAAATGCAATATTAATTTAAAAAATCAATGATGATTGGCGTTTTGAGCTTGAAGAACGATGTACTTTTTATTACTTTGCCTTCTTTCAATTTGATATTTTTGTGAGATTTCTGACATCTACCTTAGCCATTTTGGCAACAATTTCAATAAATTTAATAGTATATACATCAAATTAAATATCAAAATATATTTAATCAACTCAGAAAATAAATCAATCTGACTTTCAAGTATTTATATTAAAAGAACATTATGGGTGAGGGCATAAAGCGTAAAAAATTCTTAAATGGATTTAATTTATTCGTAATGCATCATCGTCGATTGAGACGTAATAATGCATTCTGCATTCCATTTAATAAAATGATTAGGAGAGATAGCTGTCTGCTTAGAAATATAATATTTCAAGAAATTTGAGAATATTAATAACTCATAAAGGTGTTAATATGATTCGCCAACGGAAACAGATAAAATGCTTCATTGGTTGCTGTAATTAAGCAGACAAATATTGAGTCAGCTAGCATGTACTTTTCAATGGAATTGCATTTAACAAATGTCAGTTTTCATTTTAAGTTTAAATGAGCATATAACACCTGGATTTGAATTAATAAATTTTTAATATTAGAAAAATACTTTGAATTAATGGATGAGTAACCAACCATTACAAGTAATAAAGGATGGAGACACCTCAGTTTAGTTTTTGAAAGTGAGCAACACCGCATGTTGTTGGTTCAGAAATGTTTCAGAAGCCTGCTAGCCTAAAAAGCCGGAAGTTATGGAAACTTTCTCATCTTCGACTCAAATTCCGCAAGCTCTTTAGTCCTTTAGTCGCATTTTTGCGAACATCTTTGTGCATAGCTCCGAAAATAAGGGGATTGCAACATGACGCAATGGCATAAAGGACTGAGATGAAGACATAAACTTCAGGTGGTGTACCTTTAGGCTTTGCAAGGTCATTTGTTGAATTGGCGGTTGAAGTGTTTGGACAATTCTCTGGGTCGATATTTGTTCTATCAATCATTCTAACAATTCCATATGGCAGGTAACCAGCGATAAATAGCAGGAAAATCACTCCAAACATTTTAGTAATGGAGATTTCCCGTGAAAGACGTTTCCTGTCCAAGTTCAAGGATGAATGAAGACGCCTCTTACGATGTGCAGTGATTTTTGTCCATTCCTGAACTGAATCTGTCGATTTATTAAGTTGAGATGACTTGCGGTAATTACGGTCATCAAATGAGGTCTGTGACGTATTAGTGAGCTCACAACTCTCTCTATACTCGTCAGCGTCAAAAAGCGGCGGTTCGGAGCCAATATGTTCTGAATTAGATGCGTAAGATCTAATTTTAATTTCAATTGGGGTGCCGTTTTGAATTTTTATACGCTTTTTTACACTTAGGTTATTTTTGCGAACAAAGATGAAAATTGCTTTAAAGCACACGGAGACGATTATACATGGTAGAATGACGGTCAGGAAAAGAACGCAAATTATCCTCTCCTTTTCTTCCCTCTTGTAGACACAGCGAAGTAGGTAAGGGGAGTAGAACATGATGGACTTCGAGAATGATTCCATATTGGAAATTACATTTACAAGCGATGTTGCATTTGCATGAGGCGATAACCGGTACTTCCTGTATGAAATACTGTTGAACACAGTTGATAAAACGAGCGGAAATACTCTACTTCCGAGAATGACCACGAGAAGGTAAACTTTCTTGCGAATTCGCAAGTAGAAATTCCACTGAACGACTACGAGATAACGATGAAAGGCAATAAAGGCATGATGCCATAGACTAGTTCCTACGAGTATCATATTAGCCTCTGGAACTATGTAGCAAGTCAGAGTTCCAGTAATCCATTGGTTGAAGTAATAAGACACCACCACAAAAGTCTGTACAAGGGTAAGATTAAGTAAATCATTAGCACAAAGGCTAATTATCAAGTCGTTGATGAGGTTTTTCCGTAGTCGTTTACAACAAATTAGAATCCAGAGAGTCCATGCATTTCCAAAAATTCCAACCATGAGGAAAATAGTCATCACGACGGATGCTGTAATCGTGGAAACTTTGGTAGGTTCTTGATAGGCTGTACAGTAAAGAGAAGGGGTATTGTTGGTGGAGAACATTTCAACTTGTCTGAAATATCATACTCGTGGTCTCAGAGAAATTAACTTTTCTATGTGTTAGTTATCAAGACACTATGACACTTGTTTAACAAAATAAATTTCATAGGCTAATTCACATTGAGGTCTAAATGTAACTATCCAATCATGACAATCCATTTCCAGTGAAGTCATTGGCTGCTGATAACATGCATTTTAGCAGAAAGGTTAACTTATCTTGAAAACAGAAATAAAACAGAAAACGAACTGCTTTTAATTTTGACAAAATGATTGGAATTTGATTTGTGAAAATAAATGTAGGAAACGCAGTTTTAGCTATTTATCAGCGTCATTCTGTGTGCTCATTTCACTATGAGAGCTTTCAAAATTTAACTGACGTTGTACATTTAGCATCATCGGAACAAAAGATTAATTTAAATAAAATTCATACCTTACTTTTAGCGATTTTTTTTAATTCATTAGTCTAAACAATAATACCAAATGCACATCATTCCTTCACGTTTGGTTAGTTCAACTTTCACTTGACCAATCGAACACAAATCAGTCAAGCTAAGGCAATGTGTCCTGTTTCGATCTTATAGTGCTTACAAGATCTCATTTATTCGCCGCAATATAATATTCTAATAAATGATTTATTTGTTGAAATGTTTTTTTGCGTACCCTATTCATTTTGCCGCATTTCCAACTTGTTTCCACCTTGCCTCGGTCTCACTGAAACCTTCTTCTAATATATTCGAAAAATGTGAATATCCCCGTTGTCGCAATACTTATTTGCGTGCAGCCAGGAGCTTGCTTATGCTCTAAAATTAGTATTGTCATGAGCACAGGTATTATTTTAGGGATTTTAAACTATATTATAGCAAAACGATAGTCACGAAACATAAGAATTAGCTTTACTGGGGAAAATGCATTGTTTTTTCTATTTCTCAGAAATTTTTGGATTCATTTTTTCTGTTATTTTGCAAAAGAAATGAAACATGGTTAGTTTATCATGCCAAGAAATGCTCATATTATTCTTTATCCAAAGTATTGGAGTTGATTGTAGTTTGAGCAATTTCTAGATTAAAACGAGTAACTTTCTTATTACCTTTACTGCGTATGCATTTTTATTTTTATTTGATCTTTTGAATTTTTTGCAACTTTTGTTTGTTACCTTTTCTTAAATTTGCTGTTTATTCCCATCTTTTACTAGCTGAACTTGAAGCACTGTTTCTATTAATATCAAGTTTACGTATATCATACAAATTACTGATTCATTATCTGAAGATTCATAAGAAAAGATAGCCTTCATCAATGTAAAATAATGAATATTTTACCGAACCAAAGTATGCATTGCATTTGTCGCCTTTAGTGGAGATATAAATTGGAGGCATGTAATAAGACAGTGGCAAATAAATTTTAATTTGGTAAATACAAAGAGGTGAATTCAAAGAAGTGTATAATGTGATATCTCCATGCTAGATATCTAATTCGCATTGAATATGGAATATACAGATGAGTGGAGACTAAATTTTAACTAACAATCTTTGGACACTTGAATCACAAAGAACGCCCCAATGTTATGAAATGATTCAATTTTGAGTGATCACGGAGGTAAACAAATACGGTTAGGAAAAATCAAGGACAAACGTTTTTCAATGTAATTCAAAGACATTTAAAACAATACTAACTTCTGCCTGTGTCTATTTGAACATTCGGTTTAAATGAAAACGAGCTAACTAGACCAGTCGTAAACATAGTTTTGTGCCTTTACTCCTAAATCTTCTTGTCCTGCCAATGAACCGTATTAAGATATACCACTTGTTTAAAAGTTTAAATAGACTTGGCTACCACAAAATATGATTGAGTTAGTGCTAAACACCAAAGCGTGGTGCCATGCCATCTGAGAGACGTAGAATGTCCAGTTCTAATTCGAGCAAAATATCCACGCATTTAAAACCAAGTTTGAATTATAATTGGTAAATTGTACTAAATACTTGACCGCGTTCTAATGACACAACGAGAGGGCAGGGAGGGTTACGCAATAACAACTATTGGGGTAATTGCATAAAGAGATAAACCCGTAAGGATACATGGATATTTATATCCAGAGGCAAACTTGTCACACCTTAGAGTACTTCAGGTCAGAATAAATTGGTTCAGCATATGACACCGTAGGAATTACTAAATTGGTTTAATGTCATGTAGGTAAGTCACGATGGCAATAGGAAAATTAAAATCTCGATCGAATTAAGGCAGGCAGATCTAGAGGATAACAGCAAACAAGCATAGAGAAGCAATTAGCATGAATGGGCAAATCTGAGATAAAATATAACAAATAGTTTGAAACAAAATTGACATACTTTGATTTCTAACTTTGCCTCAAATCAATGCCCGTCAATTATATTTGTTTGAATACTGTGTATTTAGGATTATGAGTTTTAAACGATTGGCTATTCCGCCTTCTCAGCAAATATTTTAGATGGGATGGAATTTGGCAGAAAGATCTTATTTCTATACATTCGAAATCATCTGTATTGTAACTCCGATGATAATTTGAATTAACTTTAAGCAATATTCACATTTTTATAGTCTAAAATGACTATACATTCCAAGATCTCTCAATTCTGTTAAATATTTACTTGATTTCGTGATTAATTACCTACTTTCTCTCCACTTCAGTTAGGTCTACTTAAAGCAACATTGTGAGTAAATTATGTCTTTGTTAACCAAAATATTTATTTCTCACACCGTTAGGAATAAAGTGAATTTAATAGAGCCATTCTTAGTTGATTGCCTATTATCAATATTTTTAGTTTTGCTGTGCGTTTTCATTAGGTTCTAATTTGATTTTAAGCATTCCTTAAGCAACCATCAAAATGATTTTGAACAACAGTGAAGGCTAATACTGGGATATTCCCATATACAGAATCGGCATAACAGTATCTGCTTAAATATCTTTTTTTCCTAATACACAGAAAACATTGAGAGTCGAAATTTAACACCAATAGTTGCATTTAAAAAGGCAACGTGCTCTGGCACACCTCAAGAATTTTGCTGCGAGATGCTGATCGCGCAAACTTAGTACGATGAAACTGCGCACCCGAATACTCTGGAGGGTGCGAACGTGCGCACATATCACTTCTCAGCCAATAAGCTATAAAGATTCATTCAATTTACGTTAATTGATTTCAAATACAAATATTAGGTTGGAAACTAAGTCATTGCCGATTTCAAATAAG